TAAATGCATGAAAATTGTTTATGAGCGTTTCGTGTGTGTATGTTTGGGTCTGTGGCGTATTTGAATTTAACTGATTTTTAATGTGCATGCAGAGGAGCGGGCCGGGCAGATCGGGAAATGACGAGGTTTGTGGGCGGCGCACGCAGTATAAGATAAATAATCACATGGGGCATTACTTTGGGGTCGCCGTTTGCATTAGCCAATTTGCGGCAGTTTATTGCTGTATACATTTGGCATGATTGGGGCTACTGTTTAATAAACTCGTTGATTTATGGCTAATTAAATTAGTTGCCGTATTAATTTATGCTTGTTTACGCGCTCATGCGCAATGGCCGACTCAATGGGTCATTGCTACAGTCGCTGCTTGGCCAAGTGAGTGGATTTCATGATTAATGATCACACAATTGGGTTGAGCATGCTGTTCACTAAAATAACATATATGTATAGGAAATATGCCGTATTCAAAATATAGCTAAGAACTGTGTTACGCCCCAGCTGTCAGTTATGCATCACGTTTCGTTATGCGAAGCTTCCATTAACCCATCGTCAATGTCTGGTCTAGGCTAGCATTTCATATGCCGAATTTCGCCTAAGGTCCCCTATCGAAAGTCGTGCTAAATCTTGCTGCATGTTGGCTTGGGGTCTTAACCACATATAGCCGAAGCCCACTTTGGCCTTGCTTATCCCAAATTGCAATCAACTTAATAACAGGCTCGTCCTAATGTTGATTACAGGTTGCTTTCACATTGCCAGTGAATGTTTTTGCCGCTTTACGCAATGTAATTATCTTGTGAGCTGCTGCACTGACTAACATCTACTCAAGCAACTGGCTAGTCTATAACTTTCGCTATGCCAAAGCTGTTAAAATAATCATAAATAATGTATGGATAATCGATAATGATGGCCAATGTTCGGCTGTCGAGCTAAAAACCATTTACACGGAGATTTGTACATTGAATATGTGATTTAATAAGTCTATACTTTCATGTTTACTGTTTGAATAATCCAAGCGCGATCTTAGGTAAAATTAGTAACCAAATGTTAAAGCTCGTATAATACAATACAAAACGAGATTTAAGATTTTTAATTCTTATTTAAGTAGGTAGGCATATTTCATGAAATTAAGTTTCCACAAAATAAACACTTGCAATCTATTAGCAACACTTGCAATAGTTCAGTTTGGTCAGTTGAGCAATTGTTAGGAAATATATCATTATCGATCGATTTTAGATTTAATGCTTTAGTATTAAGCAGTACTCAAGCAATAAAAATAGTTTTTCGCAATTATATATATATTTTTTATGTTTGTTATGTAATCTTAATTAATTTCAATATGATTGATATGGATTGAGCAGCAAGCCAAAAGCCCTTTCAAAAACGTTGCGCATAATAAATCACCGAAACATAAACGTGCACACGGCAGACATTAGTCAAAGAGGCCAAAAGCAGGCAGGCAGTCGTTATTGTTATGAGTTTTGCTGTTGTTGCTGGCAAAACGCATAAACATTTTACAGCGCAAACAATTAACTAAAAATAACATAAAAGAGTAGGCACTGACCCAGACGGGGCCAAGAAACACACAAAAATGATTTATGAACGTCACAATACACATTTCGGGAAAGTTACATAAATTAACACATGTCTTCCCCGTAATGAGTCAAGCCGTGTCAGTTGCCAGCCGAAGGCGGTAAAACAAGCTAATACAGACTAATAATAAATGCGCGTCATAATATAAGCTTCTTATTTTCTTTTTCAAAAGAAACTAATACCTCTGCTCAAGTAAATTTAATTAATAAGCAAATGTGTCTAATCAGCAACATTTTAAGGCTTGATCGCAATCGAATTATTTCAGATAAAATATAAAATAAACAAGGCATTTCATCTGCAATTTTTTATTCCATCTTAAGTGTAACCTTTCACATTCAAAAATTTGTGGAAGAACCTTTTTAAAAATGCTAAATATATAGCTAACTTTCAATCGAATTTTGCCAAAAAAAATTCCTACATAAACCTTTTTGGTTATTATATTTAAATTTTTGTCGATTAGAAAGCAAACGTGCAGTTTTTACGTTTCAAAATATATATTTTCTTGTTGATCTTGATCATAAAAAGAATACTGTCCGTCGTTGCCCATTTACGAATTACTTAAGATTTAATTGTTTGAAAATATGCCAAGTTGCCAATTAAAGTAAGATGTATATTACCAAGAAAATACTAAAAGTTTGTAAAATAATTCGTGAGTGTTATTATTTACGACTATAGTATATACAAATCCGCCTTATTTGTGCTAGTTCCACTTGTTAAAACTGGAGCGATACGAAAAGGCCAGCTCTGGACCTGACAGTGGCAGAAGAGTGTACTTTTTAACGGCAAAGAGAGTAAACCACACAACAACAACAGAAAAATAAATAAAACAATAAAAACAATAAGGGGGCGAAATAATGAAACAAAAGAGCAGGCGCAGGAACAAATGTAAATGCTAAGTTCATTCAAATGGGGCCAGCTGAAAACGCCGGCAATAAAAAATGTGTACACATGTGCCCCCAGGACAGTTCACAGATAGTCTAACACACTCACGAATGCACTCATGCCATACGCTGACATACGCGAGCAGCACAAAAGGCAGACCCAGATCCCAGATCCCAGGCTCAGGCTGAGGCCGAGGCCCAGGCACAGGCCCAGTCTCTGGTCCGGGCAGACACTAATTCGATCCGATAATCATGGAGTCCCGCCAAAGGGCATGAATTGTAATTTCCTCTTTCGCGGAATTAACTGTCGGGCCTGTCGCTCGGTCGGTTGGCTTTGTAGCTGTGGCTTTCAATTTCTGTTCCCTTTATTATTGTTACCCTGTTTCGCTCACAATTTGAAAAACTGGCTGCCAAGCCATTGTTTTTGCCAGGCGCTTTGTATTTATGTGTCATATTTATTTATTTATTTAAAACATTGCGCTTTTGTGTTCTTTTTTGTTTGTTTTTTTTTTCTTTTTTTTTTTTTTTTGCACATTTGTTGTTCTTTTTATCAGTCATGTGCATCCGCTTCCACTGCAAGCTGAAAAGCCTGGAAGCCATTTATTGTAAGACATATTTTTTCGTATATCATATTATTCCCTGAAGTTTAGATACTGTCGAGTTTTTTATGAACTGTGTGCCTCTTAAGTTATACAAAGTGCCTTATTCAGATGGATTGCAAAAATATCTTACTAACGTATATTATTTATAGTATAAAATTCCCATTTACTTTCGTTAAGTCTGTTGGATTTTCATATTCGATTTTAAGAATAATTGTTTTTCCAAACACGACGCATAAATTGTTGAGAAACCAATTATATTGAAAAGCAATAAAAATTAGCCAAGAAGAATAATTTTATTTAGATTATGGCAATATTAAATATCGAATGTATTTCTGACTTTAATATCATATGCCGTTCAATTTACTTTTTGATCAGGTTTTCCATCTTTCTCTATAACAGAGAGAGGTGGCCAAAAAGTTATATATTCCAATCTACATACCAAATGTTGTGCTCAAAATGCTCAAAAAATATCAATATAGATTGTTATCGATTTCATAGAAACGGGGCAAATTATCGATGATTTAAAACAAGCTCGTATATCTCAGGAACTTATAGGCATTTTCAAGTCCATAGCTCTAATATATTCTGAAATCGACGCGTTCATACATACGATCAGACGGACATGGATCGAGATGATATATATTTTATGAGACCTTCTCTCTTTTGCATAAAACCATTATACCCTTTTTACTCACGTTCAATGGGTAGGCTATATATTCGGTTTGTGATTGTCATTCGTATGCAAAACCAACTTTAAAACTTTAAGGCACAGCAAATGTTAGCGTGATTAATTCAAACTTTTTCTTAATTCGTCATGCGTCGAAAAACAGACAAGACATCTCCCAGAGGGTAATAATCATTTGAAATATTTAATACTAAAAGACAACGACTAACAAAACTCTAAGTAAACACCAAACGCAGCAAATAGAAATTCTGACATACACCGAATAAAGCAAAACTGAGCCGAGTCTGAATCGGAAGCATAATGTTTTTTTTTTTTTTTTTTTTGGCCCAGGACAAACCGTGCCATTTTTGTGGGGAGCGGAGTAAAAATAAAATCAGCATTTTTAGTAGTTAATTTAATTTATTGCAGCATTTTTATGGTTGACTTTATTGCATAATAAAACATAATTTACTGCGCCATTGAGACTTTTGCGTTTGCGTCGATAATTCTAAAGCGCAGCCATATTCCACGGACCGGGCCGTCCCGGGCCGGGCTGGGCCAGACCGGGTCGGGTCGGGTCGGGCTAGCAGAAATCGGGCGAGGCAAAGATGGCAGAGGGCTGGACGATAACTGGCGAACAGACTTCGACTTCCACCGAGACAATTGGTTTACGTGTGCGGGGAGTAGAGAGCTTTTGGGGCGTTCTGTTGCATGCCTCCTGGGCGCAGATGGAAGTTTTACATATTGTATAGACGATGAAAGGCCAGCTAAATCAAATGTACATACGGTTGCTGATTTAGGCTGAAATATCTCAGCTGACTATTCGTATTAAAATACACAACTATCGTCAATTTGATGGTTGCCATGGGATAGCCCAGTTGATTTCATAACACCTTAAAGGACTCTACAGATTTTTTTAATCTTATTCAACTGTATTTACCCGCGTTGCATATGGAATTATAAAACATGTATTCACTATCTTGTTTTTTGAAAATAATTTCGAAACTGTTCGAACGAAATTGATAACATTCCTAAAATCTTTGACCCGCATTTTTCCACCGAGAAAGCATAGATGCTGCGAAAAGTGTGACACACGTCTCAAATTAACTTTTATTTCACTTACCAAATTTTGTGTTTTTAATTTCCATCCAGCAGGGATGTACTTTCTGAAAGGTAAGAAATACCTCTGTAATGAATGTGAGTATAATCTTTAAGGAACATAATTTATCAAAACCTCGTCATAGCGTAAGCCTCCATCACATAAGGTAATTACAGCAAAGGAGCTCCTACCTCTCAAAGTTTGGAATAAGCGTTGATAAGCAATCTGTCAATCAGTCAGTCAGTTGGGAAAACGAGAGAAAACAAATTTATCAAAGAAGCGACTCGTTCCAATGTCGAAGCCCAGTTGTTTATTCGTTTGCTAAGCCGAAGAGTTGACTGAAATTAACTCATGGTACTCTGTACGCCATATTTGTGTATTTCACTCTGCCGCAGAATTGTGGCCCATTTGCAACTTGTAGCAGAGTCATTTCATTTAAGCACCAATTAACAAGAGAACATCAGCACATGATTACATTTCTGAGTCCTACCGCAACATAACCGAGTTTCCACAGGGACCAACCGCTGCGAGCAACACAAACATTCCATCAGAAAGTCACATATATTTCGTCAGAGAGCCCATCAAATGGAATTGCATCACTGAGCCAGCCTGCTCGAGTTCTATAAAAGCCCAAACAGTCAGTGCAAGGGTCAACAGTAAAGTGCTGAGACCTCGACATGCACCTACAGGAACTGTTATTGGTCATGGCTGTGGTGCTGCCCCAGGGCTTGAGGGCGCTTCGCTATAGCCAGGGCACCGGAGACGAAAACTGCGAGACTCTCAAGTCCGAGATTCATCTGATCAAGGAGGAGTTCGATGAGCTGGGTCGCATGCAGCGCACCTGCAATGCGGACGTCATAGTCAATAAATGCGAGGGCCTCTGCAACAGTCAGGTGCAACCGTCTGTGATAACTCCGACGGGGTTTCTGAAAGTGAGTATGAAATAGCTCCGAATCAGACTCTTATTTACTCTCTACACTATGGCCAGGAGTGCTACTGCTGTCGCGAAAGCTTCCTCAAGGAAAAGGTCATCACCCTGACCCACTGCTACGACCCGGATGGCACGCGCCTCACCACGCCAGAGATGGCCACCATGGATATCCGCCTGAGGGAGCCCACAGATTGTAAATGCTTCAAGTGCGGCGATTTTACGCGCTAATCCCAATCACAGCTAAACCCAAATAAAGTTACCCTCTCACGAGCTTTTCCACAAATAACCAGTTGTTGTTTTTACCATCTGACATTCTAGTCCCTGGGGATGCAGAAAAACAGCTGTATGTTTGAATTGCTGATTGAAATCCAGTTGATATGGCTGCCAGGCACATTTCCCAACTCAATTGTTGATGATGTTCGTGTTGATTTACCAGGTCCATATCATTTAGAAAATATTTGGCCAATTCGCCAGAGGGTGAATATACAACATTGGAATATTTCCGCATTGCGAATGCCAAACCAAAGCTTTAGTTGTTGACTTAGAAGTGTATTTTGTACAAATTCCTTTCGGATGTAGCTATACAATGCATTTTATTAAAATTTAAGATGTTCGAAAACAGGTCGCACTTCAAATATTGTCACAATGGCGAAGGGTATAATTATTTGACATGCAAAAATGTTCAAAATTTTGATATTTATAAAAACTTAAAAACGTGTAAAGATCTTTTTAAAATCGTCAAAGAAACAACGAAAACGCTGCTTCGTTTGATTGCTTTTCAGATACCTTTCCAAATCCTGTAGCCAGAAATCACTCCTATTTTTCACAACCGCAATAAGAGCTTCCCTATGGCACCACGCAGAGATACGTACTTAACATCGAAAGGTGCGTGACTCGATCGGAGCTTGTGCTTTTCTCCTCTGCCGAAGCAGAGTCCCGGCCGAAGATGCGCTAATGCATGTTAAATATAATTTATATTGTGTCGGCACGTTGCGCTGCTGTTGATGGAGCAACTGACGCGATGCCACCCAACAATGCCTCGCACTCCACAACTGATGCCTGATGCCTGATGGCCGATGGCTGATGAGACTGTTGCAGCAACTTGGGCTGTTGTTAATAGGCGTGCCAGCTAAATTATGAGTTTCGCACACACGGGCAGACAGACGGACGGACAGACAGGCAGGCAGGCAGCTGGTGATTATACGGATAGCGGCAGAATGCTTAAGTAAATTACAGTGCGTGCAAATGTGCTTGTGAACATGGAATTATAATTTTGCCCGCAACTGCAGCAAGCGCTGCAAAATGCGCCCCAATTTACAATTAACCGATGTATGCGCCTCGTGCACTTACTTTTTAATCAACCAACCAACTGGGCAACCGAAAGGCATACATATAACTATATACTATATAGAGGAGTACTCGAGCAGCGGCATATCTCGGCAACAACAAAATAACAGCCTGCAAGCTGTCTTCAGCCTAAGTGCAGTTTATACTTGATTATTATGTTTTCGAGACCTGTTTCCGGGTGGCTGAGCATCGACAGCGCTCTGCATGGAGGGAGATACAAGGCTTAGGCAACATTGTAAGTAGCATTGTGTTGGCTGCCTAATGAGTTAATTTGAAATTAAAATCGCTTAAAAACATTCTCTATAAGACTAATAGCGGAAAGTCTTGGTTGGGCTGACAATTAAATACTTGACAATTATTCTGGCTACAATCTATAAGCTTATAATTGAAAAAGTTTCTTCTTATATAAGAAACAGAATACTTTTTTCAGTATGATCAGTCTTTAACGAGCTCACTTAGGCAGCCAGTACACATAGTTCTGTAGTCCATTTAGTTCTCCTTATAGATGTGTATGCAATCTGTCTAGTATACGCCCATAAATTTACCTATAGTTTCTAGATTGCATTGTCTCGAATTTCAGAGCTTATTTCGATTTGAAAAATTGACGCATATTAATTAGATATAAATAAAACGGGCCAACAAAGCAGCCGCAGTGTCTATGAATTCGCATTATTCAATTTCTTCCGACTCTGCGTTTTTAATAAATGACTGTTAATTAATAATAAATCTGAAAGAAAAAAACATCAACAACAACAACAACATCAACCTGGCCACATTTATAAGCATTTGCAGCTACTATACTTAAAGAAATCGAACATACTTTTTGTGTTCAAATGCGTTGATATTGGCAATTAATTTCCATCTTGGTTTCTGTTCGTTTTCAAACACATATAATTTGTTTGCTGATTTGCATGATTTTGCAATTAATATCAAATCTGCCATCTCAGTCTAAATCTCTCGGCCTCCCTCTCTATATGTTAGTGTGCGTGTGTCACTTGCGATATTGAAAGCCCAAGGCGGAATGTAAACAATTAACAAAAGCAGCGCCAAATCGAATTTATTGATGAAAAAAGCTGTTAGTGTAAGATATAGCAACACAACAGCAACAACAACAACAACAACAACAACAAGAAGAAGAAGAAGAAGAAGGCGCCCACATTAACGAGAGCTTAGATGGCATGACATCATTTATGGATCTGTCGATTATATCGGCACTTGAATGGGAATGTCTCGGGCCGCGAAATTTATTGAGCTTGGCAACTCTTTTGCCTTGTCATTAGCACATTAGTTTCACATTGATTGGAATTTATGTTGTGTTTATGTTTATGTTATGACTTTAGTTTAGACTAATGCTATTAACCACTTTTTGAAAATGACATCAGGCGTTTTCGGAATGTATGCATTTAGCTCAGCCATCTGATTTCGCCTATTCAATAATAATGTAGCCAACCCGAGGCGTATAATTGAAACCAAAAGGCAAAAACCCATTTCAATATCTATTCAACTCAACTAGAAGATACTCTGTACTGTTTGCAACTTTTGGTATATATATGTGCCACCTTTTTAAGCCTTAAACTCATTGAAAATTAGTTAAAAGCGAATGTGTGTAACAGGCAGAAGGAAGTATCTACAACCCCGTCAAGTATTAGCATCAAAATGCGAGACTAGAGACACAAAATATTGGTTGTATGAGGTTAACTTAGATTATACAGAGATCCATAAGACAGCGGTCCACGGCGTTCCCTCTGTCAAGGCGGACATGGGCAGCACGTCTAACCGAGGCAAAGGGAAAATCTAGACAGCATCTTAGAAAAAGCTGGACGTGACCTCAACAGCGCCTTGTCTGTGTGTAGAAATTCACAAGGAATATAAGAAGGCAAGCCTTTTCTAGCTCTCCGATAATTAGTCACAGCGGCCTCTGGCTTTCATCGGACGAGGCGAATGCGTTTGCTGACCACCAGGAGTCGACCCTTATGTCCTTGCACCACCCCGCCGGGGGCTAAGTACTGCTATCTGAGTATTCACCTGGACCGTCGGCTCCTCTGGTGCTGTCACATCACAGTGACCAGATCAGATCGTGGTCACCAGGGTCTTAGCTCATCCCTTCACAGAGAGACGCCTCTAAGGATTACACCCCTGTGACAAGGTGAATCCTCTAAGCACGCACCTGCACAATGTAAATAGCATTCATATCTGGTAATATCAGGACACATAATTATATGGGTTTAATCGCGTCGATCTGAGATACTGTTTGATATTTTTATCCGTTTCTACAAATGAACAAATACATGAAAATAATAATCTAAGAGTATTTAAAGCTCCGCTGTTCAGTGCCATGTTTTAATGTTTTAGTTTGAGTTGTGCACTTGCAGTGCAATAAGAGACTGGAATGATTGTAAATGGATGTGAAGGGATTGCAGGGGACGAGCGGGCGATGAGCAGGGTCACCTGTCAAGAGTAAAAGCGCAACGAAGCGCAAACGTTTTTGCATTTTGCATTAAATTTATGATTTTTACAGCTGACATTTGTTTGGGGCGCCGCTGCGAGACCGAATACGAATACGAATACAAGAACTCATACCAACTGTGTGTGTGTGTGCGTGTGTGTGTGTGTGTGTGTGTGTGTGTGTGAGTTATGCCCTGCAGCATGTGCGTAGAGTGACAGAGCAGAGCACGTAGCGAACATATGAGTGTGACAGCAACAGCAGCGAATACAACGACAGCAGCATATTTTTCAACCAGCAGCAGCAGCAAAAGCAACTGCTGCAGCAACAGCAGCAGCAGCAGCAGCAGCAACAACAACAACTGCAACTGCAGCAGCAGCAGCAGCAGCTGTCATAAGATGAAATTCGCGCGCGCCTGCATTTTGCATATTCAACTGCAACTGCAACTGTTCAGGCTTTTATGGGGGGGTCAGACGGGGCACTTGCAACATATTCTAATGCGTTGCGACATGAAGTGACTGCAACGGCGACAGTTGCTGTTGCCGCTTGAGAGGCGGTGACAGCACCAGCAGCAGCAGCAGCACCAGCAGCAGTAGCAGGAAGAGCTGGGTTACAAAATAAAAAGTGAGCTGATTTTTTCCTACATGCCATGCCATCTATTTTCTTTCCTTCGCTGTCAACTGCTCTTTCTCGCCCGCCCGGCTGCCTGGCTGCATGCAAATGAACTGCCGTCATGATAACCGGCAACAGTTGACCGGAAATGAGCAACTAACTAACCCGCTAAATGACTTTGAATAAAATGATAGCCATTATGTTGATGGCCCTGTTGCTGCTGTCTACAATTATAACTTATTGTGATTGCAATGCAATGCGATGAAAGAAGGGACGGGCAAATACCATCAGCACAAAACTGTTCGGGATGTCAGTTTTCAATTAAAATAAATAGTCAAAGATGCTTAACTAGTGAGACGAATTCTTCGGATGTGCCAAGCACCTTTTAATCAGAGATAGGCACATGTTAAATGTAACATTTACACATGATCTTTAATCTTGCTAACGTTAAAAATATGAGGGGGATAACATGTCTACTGATGAACAAAGAACATTCACATTGTAAGAGAAGAAAGAGGATGTTCAGAATAGACAGGCATAAGATATTAAAGGAGACTTTTTCCACCCACTCGATCAGAGCAGCAGAGACAAGGAATCCAAGTGGAACCCGAGTCTGGGAAATGGAAAAGGGTCCAAACCGTATCCCTCGCATTTTGGTTTGATGGGGTGATGCTTAAGCCACAACATAAAATGTCATTTAACTTTTGACCAGTAGAACAAACCACATCTCAAATGAATTTCAACAAAGATCTTTGGTAATAAGTTTCAGGCTTGAATTGTTGCCTTCATCACAAAAAGTAACTGCAATTAAGGTTTTGGGGCTGACTCGTTGAGTAGTAAGCAGATATATATATTACTTAATGGAGCTGTCAGTAAGTTAGTCA